GTAGTTCTGAGTCCTGAGAATATGAAGCTAGTAAAGACATCATTCCTCGCGGGGAGGAGAGGCAGAAATAAGCAATGTATAAAAATTATCAGTGCTTAAAGAATTACAATATTAAATCAAATCATCTCTAAGGTCCCTTTTAGCCTAAACACTTCATGATTCTAATGCAAGGAAGAATATAATGACTCTTGTAACAGAGGAGGAAGCCAAAATGCTGCTTAGGAGACAGAGGAAGAAGAGATTAATTTAGATTATGGTCAGGGGAAGGGGGGTTGCCAATGATTTCCTAGAGAAGGCTATGGAGATATCAGAGCTGGATTTTAAAGGATGAGTAGGATTAAATAAATAGACATGGGAAGAGAGGTGCACAGGTAAAAATGTAGAGTAAGAAAGACCCATGAGTGAAGAATCCTAGCTCCATTCAGGAAAGAGCAAGCATCTAATTAGCAAACCTTCCCTGGGCAGGCACCTGTGTTCAGAATGCTGCGTGCAGAGAATGTTTTCATGAGACAAGATTCCTACTTTCAACCCCCATCTAGAAGGGATGAGAAATTGGCTGTGAGTTGTCTGATGACAAGTGTCTGATGTCTTTATTACTGCTCTGTGATAGGAACTCAACTTGATTAGCAAAGGGTGAAGGCACACCCATAGCATGACACATGGTGAGAACCCGCCATGGACTCCCGGCAGGAGCTTCCTGGGGTACATTTAGGAGCATGAGCTGGAGAGGTGGGTGGGAAAGGATGTTTAGGCAGCAGAACTGACATGAACCAAATTACTGAGAGAAGTGAAAGATTAGCATATTATGAGAATTTAAGCACATTAAGAATCCCACTAACACAGCAGTTGCCTGTGTTCCAAAGTTGTTGTGAGTCACCCTCCAGAAGAGTTGGGGAGCACTAGTGCAGCCCCATCAACACCCCAGCGGGCCACCTAGCTAAGCAAGGGACTGCCCAACACAGGGATCTGCATTAGAACTTGGCTAATTTCACCAGACTGGGTCAGCAAAGCTCTGAGTGGCAGGTGATGGTAACATGAACTCACCCAAGACTACTCAGCCAATATATAGGGGGCAGAGCTGGAATGCCAACTCACGTTTCTCCCCAAAGCCCACCTCTTCACACAACTGCTTCCCCAGTAACAAGAAGAAACTAGTGGTTATTTATGGACCTGCCAGCCTTGGGCCAAAAATGCCAAATAGGTGAGTTTCCTAAGTGTTCACATCTCTGTAACGCTGTATGATGTCAAAAAATAAGATCCATGGAAACACCTGTAGGAATTGTGGGAAGACTTTTCAGTAAAAAATGTTTTTTATTAAGAAATCTCAGTTTCAAAGTAGAAATACACACAGCTATGCAAATCAGGTTAAACATGCAAACTGAAGGGTCATTTGCACTCATGAACTTGGAGATAGGTGAACCCCGAGGTGACGAGTAGGGAGACAGCATGAGACAGTCACATGCTGGTCCCAGATAGTGGCATTGCCACCTGTCAGCAATAGTAGGCTATTCAACCCAACAGTGACCTGCATTCTAAGAACCCACATCTATCTCAGAGAAGTTGATACTGACCAGGGCTCCAAAAAAGAAAGCAGCCACTACCCCTCCCTCCGGGGTTATCTTTGCAGCATTTCTCTTCAAGCTTGACCCCCACAGGGGGCTGCAAACAGGGCAGGGAGGCTGGGCAATAGCAACTCTCCTATCCATAGTGATAATAATCTGCCTCATACCTGCAAAGTTGTCATCACAAAAGTACAAAGGGATTCTCACATAGATTGTCTCACACGTTGCATCCTCCCCATGTGGCATCCAACCCTGTGAGTTAGGAACTATGTTACTCCCATGGTACATAATCAAGTTGAAGCCTACAGCAGGTACAAAATACAACCCAGACAATAGGTTAGGAAGTGATGGAGTTGGAATTCAAATCTGTGTCTTCCTACTCCTAGTCTTAACCTCCAATCATCCAACATCATGGCCAGAACACATCCCCGTCCAGCCTTTCAGTTCCTCTTCCCTTCCACTCCAGTGGTGGGGGTGTGGGGGGGAGGGTGGCCAACAAGTAGACACTATGGAATCAAGTGTTTTTATGGGAAGGGAAAGTACATGCCCATCTGAAGTCAGGTGGCCCCAGGTCCCAGGCTAATAGTGTACCTGCATGAGCAAGGAGCACACCTGTTTACACGGCAGTCAGAATTCCACACCTGGTTTTCTGGCAACTTTTCACCTCCCAAAACTGCTTTTCACTCTGCTAGAATCATGGCTCATTCACTAATTAAAGGGTATTACACACTTCATTGCACACCAGCTAAGAACTCGGAATATGAAAGCTTATGCAAAAGCATTAGCTCCAGACATGTACTAGGTATGCTTTATAGAAAAAGCAAAACAGAAAAAGCCATTCACCTGTGACATCTACTCCCTCACACTTAACTTCTTCATTAAGTCAGCCACAGTACTTAGAGAAAGAAGTCACTCAGCATAGAACAACCCAGGCAGAGACTAGAAATAAGCCAGAGGAAAGGGATGTGCAGCAGAGAGAAGGGGAGAGAGAGAGGCCAGTGAGCCAACTTCTCTGACAACCACCAGCAATGCGCTCTGCTCTCTTCTGGGGTGGGAGTTCAAGGAAAGGCACACCTCAACTCCAGGCCAAATGGGACAGGGAGATGGAGGGAGCATGGGGAGAGTTACTCCTCACTGCTGGGTCTTGGAACAAATCTGGCATCTTGCCCGCCCCCCATCCCCCCCAACTCCCCTTGTAGAGGCTCAGCAGGTTTCTCACTCTTACCAAGGAGTGCAATCAGCCTCCCACCAGGTCCTCCTCTAGCTTTCCTGGAATGGGTGCACCAAGGGTGCTTTCTGACACTCCCTGAACAGCCCTGGGGCTCTGCCCGGTTTCAGTCCTGGGGGAGGTCATACATTGAGAGTCAGTCCAAAGAGGGACACTCCACCAGGTCAGTCTTGAACTTGATGATGATGATGATGATAGACAAGGACTTGCCACTTACTGAATAATGAAGCTCACTTATCCACAGGTAACTCTACTATTTGAGAGACAACCTGGAGAGTCAAAGGCTCAGGTTAGACTTTAAGGCCTGATCTTTGGCCTTTTGAGACCCCAGCAACTTAAATGATGGACCTAGTGCAAAGCAGCAGCCAGAGTCAAAGAATCTTTGCTCTAAATGGAAGTTGGTCTTGAACTGAGGGGAAGACACTAGTTGGACATGTGATTATGCAGATGCCTGAGAGGTCAGTCCAGGGTCTGCTCCTGGCTGCATTTTCTCTCTGTGGCACCCTCACTTTGCTGTCTCTGTGTTCCATGTGTGTTCAGGCAGACAGAGGAACAGCTGAGTGCATTTCCAAGCTGCATGGTGCAGTGGTGAAGCTGAGCGTTGCCACGGCACTAGAAAGCACGGGTGGGATACAGGGATGGTTTCAGCCTCCAAGAAGAGGCATTTTCCCCATCTCTCCCCAGGTCGCCTAAGACATCATTTGTGTGTGACATGTTTTAAGATCCTGTTTGGTCCATTTAGAAAGGTATCCAGCATTGCTGATCCCTTCCCCCAGCTCGGACTGGCTTCCTTTTCAGCATACATATACTGCTGCTGATTTTGCTGTGCTCTTCTTCACAATGTTTAAAACAGGATAATACAAAACAGCTCCCTCAGGAAACGGCTCTATAGGATGTGAAAGGCAATGCCCCTGGCACTCTGGGCTTTTCCAGAATCAGAAACAGCCAGCAGCAAGCACAGAGGCTGCTGACAGAGACTGGTTGTAGCATTAAAAGAAACTCAGTGCAAGAGACTGGTAGGCAGGGATCTGAGAGCGGGCAGGGAATGGATGTATCCCGGGAACAGTAGGGCATATCTTAATTAGGCAGAGGGCCCCAGACAAGTGCTGATGACAGAGTCTGGTCCCTTTGCAACTGCTGCACCTGCCATCTGAACTTACAATTGCAATTTGGTTGAAGACTCTGGGACTCAAAAGCTCTTGATTCTCCCTAAGGCAGCTAGGGGAGAAGCAGCTAGAGTGACTAGGCTTCCATAGGGTCCCCCAAGCTCTGGTGACCCCAGCTTGCCCCGAGGCAAGGAGGCGTCTGCAGCTGTGGTCTGACCTGCTATGCCTAACAGCCCACTAACTGGGCTAACAGAGGACCCTGGTAGCAGCCCCTCTACCGTCCTTTCTTTCTCTGCCTCTCCGGGAAGCTCCATCCTGAATGTGAGCCACATCCCCCTCTGCTTTTCCCCTTTACTCAGCTCCACATTCCTCTCCAGGCTTTCCAATCCCACAGCTGCTTGCCCCCTCCCCATACCACTCCTCGCTCATCCACGTTGTTCAGCGACCGTACAGACAGCAAACCAAGCCTTTGAGTTTCAGCTGGAGCTCCCAGACAAGCCAGTCTGGACCGTTTCACCCTCACAGGCATCTACGGACCAGCCGATGCACTGGGACACTCTTCTTCAGCCCAAGCACCCTGGATATTTTTGCTTCCTACCCACCAGCAGACGAGAGAGACCCAGGGTCCCCAGCCTCTCCTCCCCGCACGGAGCTCAGAATCCACACAAGGGACTTCCACACCTTTGCAGCATCACCTGCTCCAGCAAAGTCACTTGAACCATCCAGGCTGCCGAAGGCCCCACACCCCCATCCTCTGGCAGCTTTAACTCCAGCCCAGCCCACAGGATGCAGTGCCTGATGCCACTTCCGAGCAGAGACAGAGAGAAAATGCCACCTCGTCAATGACAAGCTGTTCCAATCGCACTGCTCAGACACCAAGTGCTCTGGACCACGGACAACTCAGGCCTCCTCCCTCCGGTCCGGGAGGATGCCAACTTGGCACTTCTGGAGAAGTGAGCCCCGTGCAAGCCCCCTGCTCACTCTCCTCATCTGACCACACAACCATGCTCCAGGCCAGCAGACAACCTTCGACAACCAGTTCCAACAACTCTGGCCAACTACCTTCGTGGCCTTCCACTGAGGTACTGCTCCCTCTCTCCTGCTTCAAAGCACAGGAAGACCCTGAACCCAGCAGGAGACCACCGGCGCAGCACTTCTCAAGAAAGCCAAGCACAGGAGTGAAGCTGAAAGCGAAGTACTCACTGTGGTGAAGTCTTGGTGGCCACATTCCTGTCCTTTGAACTTGCAGTAGAGCATCATATCCTTCAGGTCGTGGCCCACGCGATGCAAGAACTCCAGCATGCTGAACTGCTTGGGTTTGTAGTGTTTGAAGTTGGCCTTCTGCCTCAGGGCCTCCAGCACTGTGGGGTCAGCCAGGTGAGGGTCCGGGATCTGCAGGTTGACGTCCAGCAGGGCCAGCAGCTCCCCAGCGTGGTACAGGTCGTTGGTGGTGAGCCTGGAGAACCGGAAACCATTGAGGTTGCAGAGGGTCACCGCAGGGAAGACAAGGCTTTGGGCCACCACCTCATCCACCTTAGTGACGTGCTGGTAGGAGAAGTAGTAGGACACCCTCTCTGAGCTCTCCACCAGCAGCAGGCCCAGGGAGCCCACGAAGGCCACAGCCCACAGCACGCGCCGGATAGTCAGTGGCCCGTACACGAAGATGTGGCGGATCCCGTGCAGGGTGGAAGTGTTGGCGAAGATCTGAATGCTAGAGGGCTGCAGGCTGCCCTCGCTGGGGCTCTCCTTGAGGTCCATGGGGACCCTGTGCAGTTCCGCAACTGGCTTCAGGTTGATCAGATTTCAGGGAAGAGTTCCCGGTCCTCAGGCTCTGCTTAAACCTTGACGTTCAAAGGAGAGAAGGCAAGACAAGCATCAGGCCAGGCGCAGTGAGTTTCTCCTGAGAGCCCAGCCGCACGCTGACAGGGGTGAGTGTTTATATAAAACCCATTCAAACTCTAGCTCCTGATTTTTTCCAGGCGATAAGGAGGGCTGGTTTTATTTAGGGAGACACCAAGGTGATGTGGAAGAGATGTGGGTGGGAAGGGAGAGCTTAGCCAATGGAAATAAAGTCCTCCCCCCTACACACGCCACTAGAGACAAGATTAAAAGCGAGAGCGAGGGAGAAAATGCTTAAAACAAGTCGCTCGGCAGCTCGGAGCCTGTTAACCAGTGCATAATGCCCCGCGTTCAGCATCCTCGGGATGTCAGGGCGGCCGCGCTGATGCACTGCGGGCGGCGGGCGCAGTGGCGGGGACCGAGCGCAGCCGCGGCGCCGCTCCGTTCCTCTCCGGGTGCTGCTTTGGACTCCGGATTCCGTTTCTCGCCGCCGGCCTCCGTGGCTCTCCTCCTCCTCCAGGCCCCCTTTTTTGGGCAGAATTCCAAATGCCGGCGGCAGCGGCTAGCGCCTGCGAGAGGAGGCAGCGAGCTGGCTGCCGCGGAAAGCCGAGGACAGGGCGGCTGGGAAGGATGTGGGGGTTCGACCCGGACTCGTCTCTTCCCCGCCTCCCCGGAAGAAAAGTGAGACCCCGAGGACGCAGAGCAGGCGCCTCCCTCAGCCCTCCTCCGCCAGGCTGTGGGGGAAGGACCTCGCCTGGGAGAGGGGCCTGGCAGAGCCTGGAGACCCCGCGAAAGTTTCTCGGCAGCCTTTTTTGGAGGGAGCTGCTGGGAGCCTCCCCCAGAACCAGCCCGGGGAGAGCAGCCGTGACACCCCGCCCCCGTAGATTGCAGGAAGGCTCTTGATAAACTCCCGGGAGGCGCTTTGGCGGGGTGGAGGGAGCATTGCTGCGGCCCGTGTTGCCTCCAGGGCCACTCTGAGCGGGGTCTCCAAAAGGAAGAGGCTGAAAATGGGGAGGGTCGCGGTATTCTCAAGCCACAGTGCCCCTGCCTTTGCAGCCCTCCTGGTGGGAGGGGGGCATCCCAGGGGCGGAGGAGCACCTCCTGAGACAGAAGAGTCAGCGGCCCCTGGGAACCCCAGCACAAGAGCAACAAGTAGCCCCCACTCCCGCTGAGCTGTGGGGAGAGCCTGTATCTGAAAAGAAAGACAGCTGGGGTTCCAGGTAGGGCTGACTGCATTCTGTGTGTGTGTGTGTGTGTGTGTGTGTCTGCCCCAGGATTCACCAGATGGAAGCACAGCTGGAGCTATAGGTGGGAACAAAGAACTGGGCTGTCAGTTGCCTACCTCCTTTTTCCTGAAAATCTACTGGAAATCAGCCCTGGCTAGCAGGCGGGTGTGGCTTGCCCCAGTGCCAGGGAGCTGATGACTGGAACTTACAGAATCAATGATGCTAAATCCCCATCAGGAGGAAAGGAACAGAAAGTTGCAGTGGCCAATCCAATGCATACTTTCAAGCTAGGGCAGAGCCACATGGAGGTGCTTTCTGAGTCAACCTGGTGTCCCCAGGGCACACCATGCTTAAATCACACTCCTTGGAAGTGTAGGGAATGCCTCTCCTGGTTTGTGCTGACTCTGAAATATTTCTCTATCCCATCTACCTTCTTGCTACACCAGATCCAAATTATGAAGAGTGACTGGATGCACTTTGAGGCCACATGTAACCTTAAAATTGGTGAGCTCAAGGAACAGGAGCATGATGAGGAGGCGCAAAGGACAGCCACTGGTCAGTCTCACACATGTGCCTTCCCAGGGGCTCAGACCCCAGCCTATAGGGTTGCCAGAGAAGGCATGGGTTTTTGAAATGGGGGGCGGGGACGCAACATTAACTAAGATCCTATCATATGTCAGGACCTGTGTGAGATTGTCTTATCATTTAACTTAACCCTTTCAACCACATTGACAGGTATGGGTTGTTATTGCCCCTATAACACAGATAAGGAAACTGATACAAGTGCTTTGACTGAAAGACATAGCTAGGAAGTGCCAGAGCTGGGATTTGAACTCAGGCATGTGTACCTCCAAAACACAGTTTCAAATACCAAATCCTTCCCAAATTTAGGTATAAGAGAGACATTTCCACTCACCTCCCCCATACCAAACACACACACTGAAACTCACCCTGCCAGCCTTCCACAGACATAAAGCAGTCCTGCTCCTCCTCTCTATCACGCCACATGCACATTGTCCATTTTTTCACATCTCAAGCCACTTCATACAGGAAGACATCCCCCATGAGTCTCCCCAATCTTTGGCTCAGCAGCCTGCTAAACAAATGTTTTCAACTTTAACTTTCTACCAAACAATGCACTGGTTTGTGGAAAGAGAGAGAAATGAAACATAGTTCCTACCCTTCATAATTCAGTGTTCCGTGGGGGTGGAGGCTATGTCAGTTTCCAAACTGCCTGGTCAGCAGAGGGTCATATCCTCTCCACGAACTCCTCCACTGTTCTGCCCCTCCTGACTGGCTCTAACAGTCTTGCATGCCCTCCTTATCCACAGGGTGCCCAGAGAGGTCAGTGCGGAGGTTTTGCCAGCTTGGAGGTGGCTCCTTTTTGGCAGCTGATTGCATTAGAAGCAGTTCCAACAGCATAGGTACATTCAAGAGAAAATATAAAGATAATGGTTCCCAGAGTCATTTTTCCCACAAGAGCCCTGTGATCAGACCCTGTGATTTATTTAGTCCCCTAGGTTGAGGGTTAGATGTCTCGGGGGTTCACGTGTATCCTTATGTGATTTAATGAAGAAGACGCACTAGCAGACTCATCAGGTATGAACACGCAACATTTGTTTGTGTTCGGATAATGGCACAGGTGTCTCTTTGTGAGGCAGTGATAATGTCCAAGGCCATTTTATTTTAGAGATCAAGTTTTCTCGCTAGAGTTATTCCAGTATGCAGTGAAGACAGGTTTTGTGGGCCATCACTGAAGGCTTGCTGGGAAAATTTAGTGAGGGCTTCTATGTTTGCTATAATATCCTCAGCCTGGTGGAAGGCACAGAGAAGGTGGCCAAATGATACCATTGAAAAACAGAACGTGTCCCCCCAGCCTTGAAGCGAGGGAGGAGAGCCGCATTAGGAGCTTAATCAGATTAGGCATGCCATACATCATGACTGGAGGAGGCTCTGCCAGATGTGAGGAGATGGATGGGGATGAGATATGCTAGGCCAGGACTGTGGTGTGTTTCAAGAGGTCATTAGCTTGCAGCAGTGAAACGGGGCTATAGGGGTTATTGCCATCCAGGAAAGCACCCAATGGAGGACATGTCACAGTCTATGGGTTCTCCCCTAGGCACTCAGTTGCAAGACCACTCAGGCTCAGGAACAAAAATGGGCTTTACATAACACACAGGGGAAACAAAAATTACTCAGGCCATAAGTGGCAGGCGACCTGTAGGGCAAATGGAAGTTAACAGTTTTTATCCTCCCTCCTGCCATTAGCATATATGATTGACATCTGTGGTCTCACATGCAGGCCTCATGGCAGCACCTGGAGTGTGGTGTGTGCATGTGTGAGTTGGCATGTCTGAGCCAGGAGGCTTAGCATAGAAGGAAGGAGGCCAGGCCCCCAGGGAGGCCAGGCTAGTCTCCTGGCCCCCAGGCCTCCCTGCCTGCACTACACCCAGTTGTTTCACTACCAGTAGTGGAGAAATAACATTAAAAGCCTGAAAAGTCACTGAGGTCTTCAGGACTCTCCTTACCTGTCTGCCTTGATCCATAGAGAACCTGCTCCGTGCCTTGCTGGCACTTCACTGCCTCACCTAGATAGTGTCCACCATGTCCAAAAGTCCCAAACAAAAGCCTGCTCCCTCAAGAGGGCACTGTTTGGTCAATGAGGGCCTGAAGCTGGTAGCACGCTTGTAGCAGGAAGCAGGGCCAGGATCCAAGTCACCACAGCTGGAGGTGTCCATAGGTGGGGCCGCTGAGATGAAGCCGCAGCAGCCCATTGCCACAGTCTGAAAATTGGAATGGACAGCATTGGTGGAAGCAGCACGGGGAGGCGATGCCTGACTGTCAGATACTGCCGTTTGAGACATCAGCAGGCTTTGGTGCTTTTTTCAGGTGGTGGAAGCGGCAGGACCAGAGGAAGTGCAGCCACCCAGTTGCTGTGAAGCCCTTTTGGCTTCTCTCTTCAGAGGCTGGCTTCTGGATGCTGCTTCTTCGGAGGCCAAGCATGAAATGGTACTTGGGAGTGGGGGATAGGGCCTCTCAAGCTGGCTCCTGCCCTGCCTTGTGTCTTCTTTCAGAGGCCCACATGCTAGCTGATACTTGACTGGACCATTTTCAATTCAATGTGCCCATTTGGACCATTTGGGGACCAATCAACCCATCTGTTGCCCAATAATTAAGTAATGAGCTAATGAACACGATTGGTTCATTTAGCTCGCAACTTATCAGTCCATTTATGATCCAGGTGCAGAAGACAGAGTCCAGCGCAGTCCTCCAGTTAGCATCCTGCAGCCTTCCACCCGGTGCTGCCAAGGGCAGTGCTCTGGGCCTTCAGTAGGAAACTCTTGCTCAGGCTCTGCACTCAAAACCCAGCTACCCCCTAGGGAAGGTCCCACAGGCAGGGAAAACGGCTATATTTTTCAATGACTTGGGCGTCGGTGGTAAAATGCCAGTCTTGCCCCGCAGTTCACGCTCTAGGGCTCCAGTTTCAAAACCAGGGCACATTTAGAAACCTCTCTTGGAGGGAGAGGGCCAATATTACCCCTCTTCCAGACCTCACCGGGAATTTCAGTGGATGCCCCAGACTTTTTTTGAATAGTTGCCTCAGATGTTATTGAGAACTCACAGGACACAATGCCACTGCATTAGCCAAGTATCTGTGTTCAAGGGCAATTCAGCATTCGTGACCATATACCATCCCATCTGTGTGCACCCATTTTTCTGAATCTACTGAAGGGTTTGTTGCTCAAGCTCCTACCAGGTACTAGGGCATAAAATTCCTGATTGCCAGGGAATGTCAGAGTATTATGAGCCTTGATATGGAAATGGGGTTGCCTCAAGCTCTTGCAGAAGAAACAAAAAGTCTTTCAATCGATCCTTGGCTTCCAATTGTCCATGTTATATGGTGGATAGCCCAA